AGAGAAACATCAACGTGAATGGGACACCGAGTGGCTGCCACCTGCGCGACCCAACCAGGGCCGGGAACAAACTGTAATTGAGGTACATGCCCTTAGTGGGAACCGAACCCGGGTCTCTCTGGACTGCAGGCCAACGCTCTAACCGCTGAGCCAAACCGGCCAGGGAATGCCATCTTTTGTTCTGGAAAAATGGGTCAATTCTTCATGGGGTCTACAAAAAACAAGAACAAAGCAAATGTCCAGAGGTGGACCACAGGAATCATTCACCCACTCGGTGATTTAATTCAAGAATACCTATTTCTTAATCTCCCACCATGTACCAGAGATCCAATGGTGAATGTGACAGTCACAGTCCCTGTTCTGGGGAACCCTTTGATCTAACTAGGGAGACATACTTGAAACAAATGATTGCATAATGATTAGTTCATTTGTAATACATGAGGGGCCACAGTACAGCATAGGGATTAAAAGTTTGGGTTTGACATGAAGATCCTGAATAACCAAAGAAACCCTGAGGGGAAAAAAGAACAAAGCTAGAAGTATCACATGTCCTAATTTCAAACTATACTACAAAACTACAGTAACTGAAACAGTATGATATTGGTAGAAAAACACACACACAGACCAACAGAACAGAATTGAGAGCCCTGAAATAAACCCACACATATATGGGCAACTAATTTATGACAAAGGAGCTAAGAATATACAATGGGGAAGGTTTCTTCAGTACATGGTGTTGGGAGAATGGGGAAGTCACATGCAAAAGAATAAAACTAGACTGCTATTTGACATCATAAACAAAAGTTAACTCAAAATGGACTAAAGACTTGAATGTAAGCCCTGAAAAAATAAAACACATAGAAGAAAACAAACCAAGTTTCTGGACCTTGTTCTCAGTGGTGTTTTTGTGAATTTGACTCCAAAGGCAAGGGAAACAAAAGCAAAAATAAACAAATGGGACTATATCAAACTAATAAAGCTTCTGCACAGCAAAGGAAATCAACAACAAAACAAAAAGGCAACCTACTGAATGAGAAATTTTTGCAAATGACATTTGCAATAAGGGATTAATATCCACATTATATAAAGAATTTATACAACTCAACAACAACAAACAATCTGATTAAAAAATGGGCAGAGGATCTGAATAGACATTTTCCAAGGAAGACATACAGAAGGCCAATAGGCATATGAAAAGATGTTCATCACTAATTACTAGGAAAAGCAAATCAAAACTACAATGAGATACCACCTCACAGTTGTTAGAATGGCCATTATCAAAAAGACAAGAAATAACCAGTGCTGGAGAAAATATGAGGAAAAGGGAACACTCATGCACCATCGGTGGGAATGTAAGTTAGTGCAGGCACTATGGAAAACAGTATGGAGTTTCCTTCAAAAATTAATAGGGGAAGGTAGTGGGGGATGGGGGCAAATTGGGTAAAAGGGGTTAAATTTATGGTAACAGAAGGAAACTAGACTTTCGGTGGTGAGCATGCAATAGAGTATACAGATACCGAATGATGCTGTAAAGAGCTGAGAGCATGCAGAAGGACGCCTAGCTTAGCGGGGAGCCCCACAATGGCCATCCCCCATCTCAGGGATACTGAGGCTTCTGGCCAGTAAGGAGGGTGGAAGGCCACAGGTTGGAAGCCTGGCCCAAGGCCACCTGTACCCACAGAGGCTCAGTGCCCCTCATACCTACCATTCTGCTGAGGTGGCAGCTATGGGTATTTGGCTAATCTCCCCCGTTTCTTCTTCCCTTGGATCCATTTCACAGCCCTCTTGCCTCAGTTGGACTTGGTGCCCAAGGACGGGGAAGGTATCACTCTTGACCACACTGAAGAAAGGCTGGGCCTTTCCAGCCTTGAGTAGGAGCTCATCAAACCCTACAAAGTTTTAAAAATCTGGGTGCCTGCTCCAAACAAGTCAGAAAACCCTCCCTGTGCCCTGGTAAGTGCAGAAGACCAGCTTCTGTTGGCAGAGGCCTCAGCCACAGGGACACTGTGGACCTTCTGTTTGACCTGGGTGAAGAGGGCAGGAAACTTAACTGACAGCAGTTTCTGGGACCTTTGCATTCAGCTCAGTGGGGGAATCCCGAGTGGCCGAGACATGGCCCTGATTGCAGGGGTCTGCCATCTAACCAGGAAGAGGAGATCCAGACCCAGTCTTGGATTTGGAGAGGATCTATACAGGGCACCTAATGCAACCTCCTGCCCAAAGGAGAAGCTCTTCTCTGAGGAGCCAGGCCTTAACCTTCCCATTGTTCCTAAGTGAATCATGTTTAATAGTGATCCAGACAACTGAACTATAGTACAGTGGTCAAAGTGTTACCTGGAAGGACAGATTTACAAGGGATGTTAAAACCTTCTTGGAAGCACTGGCCAGTTTGGCTCAGCAGTTAGAGCGTCAGCCTGCGGTCCAGAGAGACCCGGGTTCGGTTCCTGCTAAGGGCACGTACCTCGGTTGTGGTTTGTCCCCGGCCCTGGTTAGTCGTGCGGGTGGCAGCCACTTGATGTGTCCTTTTCGCGTTGATGTTTCTCTCTCTCTCCCTTCCACTCTATCTGAACAAAAAATGGATCCTTGGGTGAGGATTAAAAAAAAAAATCCCTGGAAATCAAAACTCTCCTCTGGGAAAATAACACCCACAGTAGAGGAGCACCTTCATAAAGGGCTGGTGGGTGGGGGACCAAACCTTCCTTCCCCAGAAAAACAGGAGGTTGGTCCTCCCTCCACCGAATCACTAAAGCACACTTGGTTAGCACAAGCAAAGGGTCGAGAACAGTGTCCTCAGCTAAGTGTTGTACAACTCCCCTCCCTCTTCGCGCTTGACGCGTGGGCACCCTATTTCATCTCTCCGTCGCTAGCATGTAGCCCAACGTGGTCCACATTCTAGATGCTCATCAAATGTGGATTTATGGGCTTCTTCACATCCCTTGAACTTCTCCACCAAGGCCAGGCTATCACCATATTCAAATACAAAAGCTTCAGGAAGAAAGAACAAGCCTTATTTTCCACACAAGCCAAAGGGAATGGAGTGTGCTCCTCAGAGGGGTCCTGCTGGGAGCAATGTACACTCTGAGGACAGGACAGAGAACACCGGGCCAGGAAGGCACACAGACACTCCCCAGAAACCCATGGGCACTCACCATTCCTCTCTCCCTCTAAATTATATTCAAAGAATTTTGGAGTGAAAAATAGTTAACTCACCTAGCTCAACCTTCTCCTTTAATCCTGGAGAAAACTGAGGCCCAGTGTCCCTCCAGAGATCAGAGGTGAAACAGAAAAATGGGGCTTCTGATTTTGTGGGTAAGATGCACCCCCTTCAGTCTGTGACATCGTTACCATGAGGTGGGAGCTCAGGACCACTTTCTGATACTAAGTCGGGGCCACCTCGGCTGGTTGTAAGGTTGTAACTCGGGGATTGTCTCTCAGACTCAGCTCCACCCTTATCCTGTTTTCCAGAGCCTTTCCCCTCTTCAAGTCCTACATGAGCAAAAGCTTACTGCCATCTGTAGGACACCTTATATCATGACTCCCAATTTCTACCTTCAGGCCATCTTGATATCCCAGCTACTCAGAACTTGTTTTTTTTTTTTCCATTTTTTGTTCAGGTAGAGTGGGAGGGAGAGAGAGGAACAGAGAGAGAGAGAGAGAAACATCGATGTGAAAGGAACACATCGAGTGGCTGCCACCCGCACAACTGACCAGGGCCGGGGACAAACTGCAACCGAGGTACGCGCCCTTAGCGGTAACCGAACCCGGGTCAGAACTTGTTTTAAAGATTCCTGTAGGTACCATCTCACCCATGCGAACCTACCAGGTGCCAGAGACTGAAGATCTGAGGTTGAACAATGCTGAGTTCCTGCACATAAACCTCACCTTGGCCTCAGTTTAGACATTGTCTGAACGTATTGTTTTACACTTGATCTTGTTCCTTTTGGCTCTACGTGGCCATAACTCTTTAAATTCATCTTTTTATTTGGAATTCCTACAATTGATCATCTTGGTCTAAGTAAATCTGTATCAGTTCAAGGTACACAAAAGCTGCATAATCATTTCTAACTTGAGTATAAATTCAGCTCACTCGCTGGCCTCTGGACAAAAATAATAGTCATTATTTATGCATGGTGCTAAATACATACTTAATAGTTCTCAGTGTGCTCTCTCCACACACACAAACTCATTTAATCCTAACATAGGAGGAAGACTGAGAAGCTATTATCCTTCTAAGTTTGGTAAAACCCTAATCAAGATAAAGCCAGAGCCGCAGAGGCACACGCGGTCACATGCAGACCCCACTGCAGTGTTGGCAAGCATCCTTCCAAGAGGTGCTGGCCCCCAAGAGCTTTCATACAGGTGGCCGAGAAGCAAATAATCATATGTATGTAACTAAGGCTATTTCCCAAATACCCTAGGAACGCTGCCAACGGCTTTCCCTGAATTGAGAGGCAATGCTCTGACAACGGTGAATATTAAATAGCCTCTGGATACAAGATAAAGTAATGCCAACCTTAACCACCCAATTCAGATGATGCTCCTGAGAATAAGGTTCCATTTAATCACTTCACAGGAGTTGTCACAGGGGCACAGAAAGTTTTATGAATATTCCAATTCTTGAACCATAGCTTCCAGAGCAGGAAAACATTAGGGTATACCCTCATCCCCAACTGCAACACAAAGCAAATTGTAACTAGGATCTTAAGATGTCCTCTAAACTGTTCTCTAGAAACACCATTTGTGTCTTGAAGATCTGCCTTTTTAACAGGGGCACAGGAACAAAAAAATGCTTGTTTGCAAATAAACATCTGGAAGACTCTGGTAACAGCTGATTTGGGCCAGAGCACGACAACAACGTGATGATTGTGGAAGAGACAATGCGAACAACGCTGTGCTGAGTATTCCCGCCAGCCCAAGGGCCCACCCGGCACGCACATAACCTAGCAGGATCTCTATCACCAGACAGTTTATTACCTGGATAGAAAAAAGTCACTGCCACCAACAGCACTGTGCAGCTTTATTAACCATTCAAGTACAGTAGCATCTGGTAAGATCGGGACAGAATTGGGATTTAAAAGTGAACAAATATTCAGCATCTAACAATTTAAAAGAAGCCACTACATACTCTTTTCACGAACATGTTTTCACAGAGCCAATACAGTACTAGCCACTGACCCAGCACACCGAGTGTACTGAAGTAGAAAAGATACAACAAGAAAAATAGCTACATTAGAAAGACTTCAACACTTTAGAAAAAGAGTTAAACACTTTCAGTTTCTCCCCTTTGTCCCCTAAAACAACATCATACAGTCTGGATCTACCTATGGTCCTACATCAGCTTCTAGAATATTTGTCAGGAGGGCAAAAATAAAATGACACTGGCCAGTACAGTCTTTGGATATTTAGGAAGGGGAGGGGGAGAAAGTCAGTTCTCAGAACAAATTAGTCAGCTTCAGTCTCATCAGCAGGATCTTTGGATTCTTTGTTCTTCCGCACTTCTTCAATGTGCTTGTCCTGTAAAGAAATAGCATATATCACCAGTCCAATAAAGCAGCCTGCCAACCCACGTCCCCAAGAAACCAAACACAGTGTCAGCACATTTAATATATATGTAATAATATTATAAATACAGTAGTCCCCCATATCCACAGTTTGGCTTTTCACTGTTTCTGTTAACTGTGGTATGAAAATATTAAATGAAAAATTCCAGAAAGAAACATTTCATAAGTTTTAAATTACACGTCGTTTTGAGTAGCATGATGAAATTTGATACTGTCCCGCTCTGTCTTGCCGGGATATAAATCATCCCTTTGTCCAGTGTATCCACACTGTCTTCATTACCTGCCTGTTAGACATTTAGTACCTGTCTCAGTTATCAGATCAACTGTGATATCACAGTATCTATGTTCATGTAACCCTTATTTTATTTAATAATGACCCAAAGTACGAGAGTAGTGATCCTGGCAATTGGATATGCCAAAGAGAAGCCGGAAATTTTATCACAGGAATATGCAAAGGAAAAAACATAGTGTATACATACAGGGTTTGGTACTACCCATGGTTTCAGGCATCCACTGGGGGTCTTGGAACACACCCCACACAGATAAGGGAGGACTACTGTATAAATATATATTATGGGAATCACATGATTAGAGTTCTAAGACATAATCTTTGAACTTCCTGGGTCACCAAGGAATCTACTGACTGAGCCTCCTAACGCTCTTCCAAGGAAAGTACAATTATGCTAGAAAATGTTGAATATTTCATTTTTAAAAAAAGATTTTGAGAGAGAGAGGAGGGGAGGGGAGAGTGAGAGAGAACCATAAATTGGCTGCCTCCTAGGCACCCACTACTGGGATCGAGCCAGTAATACAGGCATGTGCCCTGACTGGGAATTGAACAGGTGACCTTTCAGTGCACAGGACCACACCCAACCAACTGAGCCACACTGGCCAGGGCCCATCTTATTTTAAGATAAGATACCCATCACTTAAAGATGCCAAACACCTTTGATCAAGGCAATCAGCTGAAGCCACTTCATTGGAACATGAAACTGCAAGCTCTTAAATTAAGCCTCCTCACACAAGGCTCACACCCACCTTCTCTCGCAAACGCTCCAGTTTGGCAGCCATTTGCGCCTCTCGGTTCTCTTTGTTGGCTTCCATTTTGTGGGTCAGTTTCTCCTCTGCCATTTTACTGAAGTTGTTGTTCTCTTCTATTGCTTTCTGAAGCACTTCTTTCTCGTGCTCTCGTTTCTCAGCAAGCTGCTTCAAGACCTCAGCTTCATGGGACTAAAAAAGGTTGAACAGGTTAGGCTCTCTGAAATGTATTTAGCATAAGTTAAAATTACACAAGAAATGATTAACTGGGAGGATTGAAAAGAGGCAGAATATTAGATCTCTTTAAATAATACTGAAGTTAGGACCTGAATTATCTGTATCAAAGTACTATGAAAATAACTTTCTAGTGTTTTTGTTTATTTTAGAAAACTGTTCAGAATCCTACCCAATTACTCCTTAAGGAAATCCTTACAGATTTACTGCATTATGGTATCAAGATGACTTGAATGAGATGCGCTTAGAAAAGGAACTTTTTTATAAAGAATTTTATTTAACTTCAAAGGCTATCCAAAGAAAATTAGCTCATTATAAAAATATAACCATACCAATAAAATATATGAATGGTAAAAAATGTAAGCCTCCAGGTTACGATTTAAGCCAGAAGGATTTGTTTCAAAGAAAAGCTTATTAGCACTTCTCTATGGAAGCTGCATTAAAATACAGACCACTGGAGCTCAATTACCATGGTGTGCCTCCTTCAAGAGACTCAGAATAGCTTGTTACCAAACAGATTCTGATGTGTTTGAAAGCACTGACTTGTAGGAAAACTACAGAGCATCTGCTACTGGTTCTGTTCTCTTTCGCAAAATCCCAGTCAGATAAAGAGTTTCACTGTGTGTACAGTTATTATTAAAGTACAGGCTAAAGTCTACAGGGCCACAGTTGATTTCTAAGTATTTCTCTGTCTAGCCTTCAGCTGCATCTCTTCCATGAACACAAGCTACACAGAAGAGCAGGTAGGAGATGATGCACCACTGCAAACACCGCCACTCTTTCTGGGAAATGCTTCTCTGCTGATAGTGGGCCAGTGTAGGTGCACATAACCGTGCACTGAAAAGTACGTAGCACATGCTACAGAAGCTTAAAAAGGGGCCTATATGTGCATGTATATGGTTAAATGTATTAGACTTAAAACTGCACTAGCTGTGTTGGTGGGGGAAGGTTATTACTTTACCTTTATTGTGAGTTTCCATAATTTAAAAATTAAATCCATTCACCCAAATCAGTGTTGCTGGTAAGGGAGATTAAATGAAAATTTATGTACAGTTCTCAGTTAATAGAATAATGCTGAATGGAAGGAAATACACCAAAATGTTAATGGTTATTTCTAGGAAGTAGGATAATGAATGATTTCCTATTTATAAACTTCTGTGGTTCCCAATTTTTCTATAACAAGCATATTAATACCTGTTGATTTTTCTGATTAGTTCTTTTTAAAGATGCCTCATTTAGATAGCGTTCGTAAGAGAAAAGCTGCCACAATACCCCAGAATGCCAGCTGAGCAACAAAATCCCACTACTAGCAATTTAAAATGATGTTATTGTACAATTCTCAAAAAAACAAAAACAAAAATATTACACGGGCACACACACAAACCAAAAGAAACCCCCAAAATCTAAAGGGAAAAAAAAAAAAAAAAGAAGAATCCATCCACTAACAAATCTGTTTCAAAGAGAAAGCAAGAGAAGCATGAACTTTGGTTTTAGACAGACCTGGGCTTGAATTCTGGCTCCAATACTCACTAGCTGTATGACTTGAGAAAATGGTTAACATACCCAAGACTATTTTCTAAGCTTGGTATCTAAGACAACACCTACCCCGTTACAGTAACTATATTAAAAGAGAAAAATGTAAGTAAAGAAGTTGGTGCAGAATAGGAGCTCAAAAAATGATGGTTGGCATTTTTCCAGCCATTGGCATTACATAATTTTTAGGCAGTTATAACCACTGTCTAGCTACAATTCTGTTTTCCTCCTGTTACGGAAATAGAGCTGATTTGCCACAAACCAATAATAAATACCATTTTCTGTGAATTGTGATATTTACCTTGCGTCTTTCTTCTGCAGCTTCTAATTTCTTCTGAATTTCCTCCAGAGAAAGATCCTTCTTCTTTGGAGGGGAAAGGGGGAATTCTGGGACAGATTCTTTTGATCGAGGGCTGAGAATCAGCTCAAAAGCCTGGCCTGAGGCACGCTTCTCCAGTTCTTTCACCTGAATATCTGGATTCGATCGAATTTATAATGTATTCAGAAAATTCGGGTTTTCCTATTCTAATAAACTGTTCTATAATTTTCTAAAACCAAAATCAATTGAATGAATAGAATTTGGGCTGATGAAGCCATGTTTGCAAGCAAGAAATTATTATGTAAATACCACCTCCCAGAAAAACAAAGTTCAACATTTTAAAATAAATATAATTCTCGGACATCAGTATTGGACACTTTCCATGAACAAAAAAAAGACTTGCACAAAACTCCACAATTTTGCTTCAGAGCAAGACAAATCGTCTAATAATGAAACAATTAATTAAAAGCTCTCAGTATGCTCCAGTGATAACCATTTTTTCTTCTTTAATTATTCTCCAATTTATAAAACATATTTTTTAATAAGACCAAAATACAGGTGCCAAATTAATGGCTTAAGATTTAAGCCATCTCCTATTCTAAAATCATAAGCCCATCACAATTTCAGTTTTTCCAAATAGTTTACCTACCAGAAGAAGCCATGGTGAACAGAAGACAAGAGCCTGGCAATATACTCTATACAATCCACTGGCAAGGAAAGCCCTGAAAATGATTTTCAAAAGAATGCAATCAATTTCTTTGCATTTCTATATGTCATTGATCCCTTGGGGACCTCAAATCACATCCACATAAATCAGTGTCAGAAAAATCACTACTGTGGAATTAAATAAGACATCATTAACTAGAAATTATAAAAATCTCTAAAATACCAATCATTGGGAAATCTGAACTGAATAGAACGTTAGTTGTAGTTCAACTCGACAGTAAGATCGGAGCCATCTTAACACTGCCTACAACTCATTGTGCAAATGAAATACACACCCCTGCTTTGTCTGTGTCTGCCATGGTGGAAAACAAAACGCCCAAGCTAATATTAACCGATAATGTTGAACTCCTACTGTTCTTGGGGCTTAAGCTCCTTGTCCAACAGCGGGCAAAATTAGTTTTACAAATCTCTAGGTTTTAGGTTATATTTGCTGCCTTACGTCATGAAAACTTCTACATTTTATCTTAAAATTTTTTAAGGTCATAATTCTTGTAGGCCCTAGGCTAGTATCAAAAACAGGATTACAGGTTCCCACCAGCTAGAAATTAAAATCAGAGGCAGAGAAATGGTCAAACACCAGCGGAGCATTAAACGCAGCACCGGACCCTAGGATGGGCGTGGCCCTGGCCAAGGCAAGGAAAGCGGCAGGCCGCCCCCGGCCAATCAGAACACGCTCAGTGCTCCGGCCCCTGGCTCCGCCCCTTTCCTCCCCGCGCCTTTTCGAATCTCCCCGAACTCACAACACCCGGGAGCCCGCGCGCGTGGATAGGGGAGGGATGGGCGGGACTAACGGTCCTATCCGGATAACTCCGCCCATTCTGGGCTCACCCCCCGCGGACGCCCCCCCTAACTCCCGCCAAAACCACCTCGAGGCCACCCCCACCCCTCCGCAGCTCGGGAACAGGCCGTGGGATAGCCTCCACATCACCTCACCACCTCCTCTCTGCGTTCCCACCCAACCTACCGCCACCCTAGCTGTCTGCGTCCCTCATCGCGGGGGCAGGCGGCTTCGTGGGGTGTTAACCTCTCGGGCGTGACCCCAGTTACTAGACGAGGACCATCGCGAGGAGCGGGCACAGCTCTAGCATGGCGCAGTCTGGCCCCAAAAGGCCGCTGCTCCCAGGAGGCGCCTCCCCTTCAGACAATGGGGACCCCGGCGGGGCCGCGCCTGCAGGGGGAGTGAGGGAGGCAAACGGGGACCCACGCCCCCTATTGTTTCCTCGACCGCACCCGGGGGGCTAACGCCCGGGGCTTGCCCAGTTGGCCGCGCCCCTTCCCCACGACAGCCGCGCCCCCAGGGAATAGGGACAAAGCCCAGGCTCCGCCCGAGCCACACACAAAGCAGAACGACCCCCACCCGTCGCCTGCTCCTCCGGGGGCCCGTGGCCCCGCCCGCCGCTCTCCAGCAGGGGGCCGCTAAGAGGGCCCAGCCCATCCCGCCCAACACCTCCCTCTCGCTGGCTGCAGCTCCTCCAAAGAGCCCGAACCCACCTGCCCGGTCCGAGCCGCCTGGCCGCACTGAGCACCAACAGCCCCGAGTGCGCACAAAAGCGCCAAACAGCGGCACGTGACCTCCCTGCAGGGCTCTGCATTGGCTGAGAGGGGCGGCACGTGCCGGCCCTTCCCCCCCAACAGTCCAGCGGGCCCGCCCCTGTGGACCCTGAAGTACCCCGGGAAATGTAGTCCAGGCTGGCGTAGCAGGAAGACAATGAGAGGGGTGGGGGCGTTGTAGGTCTCCCCAGGTGTAAGCCCTGGGCAGAGGCAGTTGTCTAGCTGCCGAAAAGGATGTACCCCTGGTCCCTAGCCTGGATCTGAACCAGCTCTCCCATCCCTAGGAAAAGAGCAGGACGGGGCGGGGCGGGATCCCTGCGCACCTCTCAGAGGGTGGCTGCCTGGACTCAGCCTCGGTTGAGTTACTTGCCCCGCAACACCGAAAGGACAATACTCAGGTGCAACGCCCCAACGGTGCCCCACCCTGTGCTGCTACCTAAGATGCCCAAGTCTTTGTGACAGGACAGTGCCATTCTACGTCCCTTGAAAAGGCCTCCTGCACCCGGAGCTGTACCTTGACACCCGCGTGTCACCTGTATTGTGACATCATCATAATTCCTAACCCTTTCCTCACTGTGTGCGTTCTCGCTACCATCCTAGGGGCCCCGAACTGGTGACCAGAGCTGAGGGGAAAAAGCGTGAGTGACTATCAGACCAAAAGCTCTGGAATTTGATCTCCTTTGGTCTAACATCCACTTGGCTTAAATGCAGACTCCATCTGTTCTGCCTTGACTTTGGCCAGATGATAGGGAAGGAAGAGCAATAGCAGTTACACAGACTGCAGTTAAGTGTTGCTTTTGTTCTTGGAGCACGTGCTCTCCAGAGCGATGCTGGCCCCTTTTTAAAAATCAAAACAAAAGGAGCTACAAGGTCACGATTGCCCCCTGCCTGGATAGATCCAAGTACAGCAGAGGTACAAAGGAAATTGGTCTAACCCTGGCTATAAGATCAGAATGATTGGCCTCCCTCTTCCCACAAAAAGGCCAGAGGAAAAATAATAAAATTAATATCGTTCCCAGGTCCTTCCTCCCATTCCCCTGACCAAGGTTGTGTCCTCCGGTAGTGGTCATTACACCAATGCACCTGCTTTGAGATCCTGTCTGGGCAGGTCACCTTCATTTTATTAATCAGTGGGCTCCTTCTCCCCAAAACCAGAAACAGACATGACCAACTCTGCTGAAACTGTCCTAATTTAAAAAGACTCTCCATGTCCAGCTAGTCACTAAGGATGCGCTGGAGATAAATACAGTGAATAGGTGCCTGAGACAAGGAGAACTGGATCATACAGGCAGTAGACACACCACACAAAGCAAACAATTAGCAATGTACTATGGCCTGAAATATGCTTGTTGTGGTATTTTCTCCAACAATTGCCCTTGTGTGGGGTTGGTCTTTCCCCACCCCCAATCTAAGTGGTTTTCCCTTAGCACGTGAGCAGGACCAGAAATTATTCAGATTCTGAGCCCTGAAAGGCTTCTCCCTCTCATACCAAACTTGACCATGAAACAGCCTTAGAAAAGCTGGAGAGAGGTGGGGACCAGACCTCACTGAAAAGTGACAGATTGGCAGGCAACACATACAAGCAAGGAATCCAAGGCCAAGGGGTCCATTATCCCCTGAATTAGCCTTTATCCTGAAGTCTTTGTACTTGATCTGGAAGTTTCCAGCAGAAGGTCCCACCCATGTGATGCATTAAAACACACACACACACACACACACACACACCAAATCTCACATTTCTGACTATTAATGTTGTGACAGGAAAAAAATTAATCTTTCAAAATACTGATTATTTTAAAGCATTTACAATGCTTCCCCCCACCTTTTCTTTCTCCCTAGAGCAGATGTCTATTTCCATGGAAACCATAGTTAGCAACGAAGATGTTAGAACTCATGTAGATTTTTAATCTTTTTTAACGATGCCACTTATAGCTTCTGGGTTTGTTGTTGACTCCTGGTCCTGCCAGTCTCTGTGACAAGGATTTCCTGAGATCCTCACTGTTGCTTGGGAACTGAGGAGGCTGGGGGTAAGAATGATCCCGAGAATAAAAAGGTACTTGTGTGGTGGGACATCCCTGTTCTTTAGGGTGGGGTTATCTTTCTGAAAGCCAGATCACAGCTATTTATTGTCAACTCTTATGGGTGTACATATATGAGCCCTGGGATAGGAAGGGCTTTTAACTGTAAGGAGAGAAAAACTCCTTTGCCACTTTACCATAGAGAGGGACAGAAGCTTCCTTCTTGGAAGCTTTCTAAAACTTCAAAACCCCCTCCCTCCTGAAGTGGCAGCAAGCAGTAATGTTCATGTCTTGACACTGTCCATCTTTACCCATGAGAATTATTTTTGCCTCTGCTCAGATTGCTCTGGAGCTGACTGTAACTGGATTAGCACAAAGTGCAGTTAAGATATGGCAGTCATCCATCTTATTTGATCTGTGTAGACAGCAAAAGGAGAGCACATCAGGCTTCAAAGTCCAGAAGGGATGTCTACACTGATCAAACGGCCGGGGCAGTTGTCAGATCTCCTCTGTTCTTACAGAGCACCGGCAGCCTTTGTTCATTGTTAGTTCTGAGGCTGTAGGGGTTGTCTCCCACATAGGCGCCGCAGAGTTCCACTGCTGCTTTCCAGGGCCTGTCCTTGGCAAAAGGGTGTCGTGGGAGAGGTTTCTCCTTGTCCCTAGCCTCTCTGTTCCCTTTGTCCCCAATTCCTTAGGCATTGTGCTCTAACACTCCCTTCCCTGTTCAAATGCTGTCTGTGAATCTGCTATTTCACACGCCCGGCTCCCTCACTAGAGTAGTAAGTCCAAGAAGGCAGGGCTTGTATCTTTGTCTTGATATACCTAGTGCCCAGAACCAGGCCTGGGTCCGAGATGGTGGGGCCTGGACATTTGCAGTTGACTTTAGACAAGAATAACCTTTCTCACCCTCAGCTTCCTCTTCTGTAATGCTAGAAAATTACAATGAGATCATGTACATGAAAGTACTCAGCACAGTCCCTGGCACGTCGTAAGTGCCTAACACTTGTTAACTATTATTGCTAAATAAGTTTCTTGATTGCTATAGGTTATTGAATGAATGAATGAATGAATGAATGGTAGACCTTCACCCTTTGGTGGGAATCATAGTCACTGGGTTAACTCTTCCCAAGGGGTATTTTGCAAATTTCAATTAATTTAACATTTTGAATAGATAACACATTTGTATAGTTTCGAAATAAAGAATAAAAAGCCCTTCTCCCTTCTTTATCCTACTTGCCAAATTTGATACCTCCCCCTCCCCAGCATAACTATTGTTATCTTCCTCTTATCCTAGAATTTCTTCATATACACACAAGAAAATTTGTAAATATGTATTCTTCTTCCCTTCTATAATACAAATGGTAGTCTACTGTAACTGTTTTGCACTTAGGATTTTTTTTTTACTCAACAATATATGTCAGAGATCTCTTCATACAGGTATCTGTTCATAGATCAAGCATTTTCTTGACCTGGGATCCACTGTATGAATGAATGTTCCATAATCTAGTTCACCAGTGCCCCATCTATGACTCTTAGGTTGTTCCCAATTCTTTGCTATTTCAAATGATGCTGTAATGAATAACCATGTATATATAGCACTTTCCATGTGGGTGAGTATATCTGCAAGATATATTCCTAGACTATATATAGAATATATATATTACAAGGTAAAAAGGTAAATGCATTTGTAATTTGGATAGTGCCAAATTGCCTTCTGTAGGAGTTGTACCAGTTCAACATGCATAATGTGGTGTTTTAATTCATTACCTCAATTCAATCAAAAATGGTTTAAAAGGCTTTGTGCTTAGAAATTTCAGGCATCAGGGAAAAGGAGGGGGAGGACTAGAAATCCCAAGAAAGATGTGGTGTCAATTCTGTCTATATTAATAACTCCTATAAATACTTTGCAAGCAGCAGCTGATCTCAGAACACTGCTGGTGCCCGTACTGTAGCAGTTGTCTCGGTCCTGCGTGCGGTTTAGAAGTGTCTGTAGGTGTCGCTATGAGATTGGAAGCTTTATGAAGGCAGGGTCTTTTTCATAGCTTTATCCCACCCCCCTCCTCCTGATGCCTGACACAGTGCTTGGTATATATCTAACTTAATTAATTCTAAGACGTATCCCATCTCCACATTTTTGTATCTCTAAAATCAATTGTGCCTCCTAGTCAATAAATGACATCATAATTATTGACAGCATATTTTCTTAGTGGTCCATAAAATAATGGTGTGTCTTAAAAATCAATGGCATTTCGGAGTCAGTGAAATAGGGTAAAGTGCACGCATATTAAATATGTGAGTGGAATGGGGTCAAGATGTTGCTGCCCCTGCCCGTCTCCCCACTACATGTTTTAACCCGCATCCCTCTTATCTAAGTCCACACCTTCTTCTAATGATTCCTTTTATGGGAATGACTCCCTTTTGCCTCTTGGGCTTCTATCTCTCTCTTGAACTCTAAAACCACATTTCTAAAGCCTAAAGGACATTTCCTCATGGATGCCCTTACCCAATAAGGCCCTTAAATTCTATATAACACACATTGAATTAACATCTTCACACTAACAACATCTAGGGTTCCCCATTCAGCTATTGGCTTTGCTGGACTTTTGCCCTCCAGGTTTAAAACTTTGGTCAAATGCAATCCTTCCCTCTTTCTCACCCTCCATGGCTCCAATTATAGAAACTTAGCATTTTCTAGCAGAATGGAACCTTTAAAATGGTAATAGCTACAAGAAGAACAAAGCTGGAGGACTCATACTTCCTAATTTCAAAATTTAACACAATACTACAGGACTCAAAATAGTGTGGTGTGGGCATAAAGACAAGACATATAGACCAATGAATAAAAAAAAGAACCAAGAAATAAACTCTTGCATATATGGTCCAATGATTTTGATAAGGATGCCAAGACCATCCAAGGGAAAAACAGACATTTGCACACCCATGTTCACAGCAGCATTATTCACAGAAGCTTAAATGTATAAGCCACTTCAATGTCCATTGACAGCTGTACAGATAAGCAAACTGTGGTACATA